TTGTCTCCTGGCTAAAGAAGTAAGACAGTTGCTTCTGAAGGCAGTTCCTTCTGGAGGACCTGGTAGCAGCAAGAGTTTGAACTAGCATAGTTCATTGGTGTTTGTTCCTACCTCTTTCCGGTGAACATCTTGGCACTGGACACTGAGTTCCTCTCCAAGTTAGACAGGCACATCTGTCGGTTCCAGTGTTTTGTAACCCCTAAAACAGCATCAGGGACTCGAGAAAGAGAGTAAGCAGTTCCTTGGGACACTCTGTCTAAGGGTGCTCCTGATAGTAGTCACCTGCTGCAACACCTGTTTACTCTTGAGGGGGGGATTTAATTATCACGCATATTTATGCTCATCAGAACAATAGTGACCATGTTACCATTGGTCCACATCCTGACACCATGGCCAAGGGAGTGTATGTTTGCAGGAGCCGGCTTTCAAGGCTGGACAGAGATGGTCTGGCACCCAGCTAAGCATCTCTGTCAAATGAATAGTGGTATAATATGATCATTATCTCAGCAAACACCATAGCAGGGTAGTATCTTAGACTGCTCTTTCACTTCTCTCTGAGACTAACATAGGAAACCTCCCATGGGACAGGGTCTTTCTTACACACTGGTGAAAGTAAGCTAGATTACGTTAACTTCTGATCTGCGTGGTAACTGTGTCCACCAGAAATGCAAAGGGAGGCCATGCTAGCTGAGTGAGAATGTCAGAATGAGAAAGGTGCTATGCTAGTATGCAGATATTTCCCAATCATATCAATCCTAGGCCAGACATAACTCTCTTCATTGGCATAGCTCTGTTGATGGTCACCCTGCATGTTACCTTTGAGTCCCTACGCCAGCCAGGACCTACTGATGAGTCAGCCGCAGGCTTCCTACCCCAGGAAATTTTGTTGTTCAGTACATTACAATGAAGTTTGATAAAGTTAACTTGATGTGTTATCAGAGATTCAATACTTGGCTGAAGTTTATCTGCAATGGAAACACTCCCTGCTTGTGCTTCTCTTGCTCTCTTCTCTGTAGATAAGATATTTGGTCCAATGTCTGTGTGTGCACTTGTGTCCCAGGGTGTGCAACTATATCCCTGGACAGGACCAACCCAGGGCAGAAGAGAAGCAGGAGATGCTGGTCATAGGAGGTAAGCTGTAGCTGTAGGCCTAAGGAGTAGTATCCACAGCTGTGCTAACTAGAGCAGATCCGGCTGTGGTGCAGGGTGTTGACACCCAAGGCCAGCTTACCCCTGCCCTCCCAAGTGATTAAGTTTGTGAATGGGAGTAGGCTGAAAGTGGCATGGGTAAGAAGCACAACATTATTATCTTAAAACACTTTGGCAAGCTATCCGGTAGCTGCCTATGTACCTGAAAAGAATTTCCCTCCATACTGGAAAAGCCTCACTCCAGTAAAGGGAGGCAAGTGGAAAGCTGTTAACATTGGACGCAGCAAAGGATGGCCCACAAAGCAAGCCTGTCCAAGGAAGAGCAACAAGATTTGGTGACAGCCAGCAGATTCCTTTCCATACTCAGTACTGCTCTTCATGTTTGCAACACAATTGTTGCTCTCAAGAGGCAGCAAATACAAATGGGTCTGGAACTGTGACTGTGACAAAGATTGGAAAGACATGTCCCTGGCAGGCAGGAATCTCTGTGGAATATGGCAGCCTTGGGCCTGGGGATTGTCAGGGCATTGCTGTCAGGATGACAGTGCTTTGGTGTAGTTGCTTGTTATGACTGAGGAAGAGGAAGGCCTTATCTGACAAGTCTTTTAGAAAAAGCCCAATTGAGGAACATGTGAAAGCCAGACACAAACAGGACAATGATTGCTGCTCCACATCAGAAATAGCCAACAGCCAACGATGAGCAATCCTAGTTTGGCAAGCACTCACATGAAATGACAAGGACATAGCCTTCTGTGTGTTCATAAGTGAGGACAGTGGTGTCTAGAAACCATGACATATGGGCAGAGGGATCAAAAGGGGAGCAGGCCAAAAAAAGGTAGAAGACTGTAAAATTCAGTGGGCTTGCTACCAAGGAACCAATCATAGGTACGCCGTGCTGCACCAGCAGGTCCTAGGCAGAGGTACAAAGCTGTTTCAAACAACTTTGGCAATGTCAAGTCAATTTGTTCTGGGTCAGGGATTTACCTTGTCACATGCCTGTAACAGTTTTGATGTGGTCTTCAATGTTCTAAAATTATATTTATAGCACTCATGGTAACAGTCTGACAGTTGAGCCAATCTTCCTATGCAAAACATTTGTAAATAATACCAGCTTGTGAGGTTCCTGCTGTGCCTCACACACTGCAGTAAGCATGGCTTCCAGACACTGCATGGCATGCAACCATGCCGCCCCAATTCTAGTGTTTCTGTATAGGTTATTAAAAAAACCCCATCAATTTCACAACAGAAAAGACGTATGGGTAATCGTAAGGTCAAGATCTGAGAAAGTGGCAATCCTATCGTCAAGTAATCATTTTATTAATAGGAGCACACTGCTTAATCATTTGCAGGCAAGAAAAGGTTCTCATGAACTGACAGGTCAGCCAAAGGATATAAGAAGTGCCTCTGCACCTACACACATAACACAGGATTTTGTGTACCATTATTTCAGTCCTGGATGGCAATGGCATTCTGTTTTAAAAATTTTACTTAATTGATACAGGAGGAAACGTAAATGTGCTGGGATCTTAAGTGTACATGTTTCAGATAGGCGGCCTTATGTACCTGTGTATTTTCACATAGTATGGTGTAGACCTTAGACTGGAGTCAGGAAGACAGTAGCTCCTTTACTATTATCTAAATGGCATTATCAAGTTTTTACAAGACAGTAGAGTTAATCATTCTTATGGTCACTGACTGTAAGTGTGCATGTAAGCAAATATTTCAATAGAACACAGGGTACAACTGGAAATAGTTAATGGATCTGAGGGAGCAGAGCTACCTTTTGCAACAAAATATTTGTTCCTGAACTTTGGAATAGGACTGCCAGACTTTCTTTCTAAGCTCTATCTGACCAAAAAAAAACCAAAAAAAAACCCCAAACAAAAAACCCCCCAAAACCTAGCTCATTCCAAATGGCCATTCTTTAGTTCAGTAGTAACTTCTAAAATGCTCTTATGGATACTAAAGTAAATAAAGAACTTTCTACTATTTGCTTCTTTCACAGCTGCACCATTTGACTCTGGCAGGAACTGTGAGCCCTTCCGTGGCTGTAGATATGACAATTTCTGTTTTGCTGGTAGGACGTACTTTAAAAGAGAAAAGGCAGCTTCAGGTCTTTGGTAGAAGAGTGTGACCATGCTGGGGCTGAGATTGTGTGCTTGGTTATATCACATGGGGAGCTGGTATAGTCAATATGGCTTATGTTATATTTGTTTTGCCTGTCCTGTTTTCCTCTTCTAGATCATAGTCAGAGATGCTGATGGCACTTTGTCCTCTTCAGGTTGCACAGTTCCCTTCTTTATTTGCTAGGCATTTCTGTCAGCCTTTCTTAATTCTCTGAGAACTTTGGGATTGCTCTTACCTGTTCTTCATTGAAACCTTCACTTGGCAAGAAAGCCAGTTTAAGAGGTTCAGAAATGCATAGGAAGGTACAGAAAGAAACAAGTTGTGAATCTCAGCACAGAGCCCAGCACTGGTTTAAGAGATCTGCTGACTGCCTCATTCTCACTTTTTATCCTATGTGCCCAGCATGCCTTGCTTGCACTGATCAAGACAGTGATTGTCTCTCCTCCTCCCATCGTACCTAGGATATTGCATGTGTAGTTCATTTGTACACCTCTCCACCCAGGCAGTAGCAAGGTCCGTAGGAAAGAGTAGGCAAGACAGCAGAGGCAGAGCTCAGGCTATGCTATACCAGAGAAATTAGGTATAGCACTCTGACAAGGCTGGAGAAATCAGCTTTGAGGGGTGCTGGCAAGACCCTAATCAGCCCTTCTGTATGACTGGGGCTGGACTTACCTCAAGGGTGCTTACAAAGCCTTTTGCTCAGGGCATACTGAGATCAGATGTTGGGCTCCAGGCCAAGCCTGTGGCTTGAGCCAAATGGCAGTAAATCACACTACTGGAATATTGTCAACAGAAGTTCATTTTTAATTCCTATTTGGCACTTCATACTGGTGAAACTTCTCAGTTAAAGCAGGTCACAAGTTCAGAAGTTAAGGGAAATCACACACCAGCCCACATACTACATTACATTTGTTTTCACTGGATACCAGGCAAGAGAAGCCTTTCAGGAATTTAAAGTGTGTCTTCAAATGTATCATAGATACAAATGCAAATGCAAGTTTTCACCCCCTGGGTAAAAGAATGCCAGTCTTCCCTTGCAGGTGCCTGCCCAATTTTTACTACTTGCACTCTTACAGGATTAACTGATACAAGGGGATGCATCATGGGGCTACTCCTAAGTCTCTCAACACACAAATTCAAAGCTGGGTAAAAGGAATGCAGCCTGAGATCCTGGGGATACAGGAGAAATAGTAATCAAATGCTAACAATGAAATAAAAATTACAGATATTGTGTTCATGAATTCATCATTCTTTGAAAGATACAAAGTTAATTCATAGCCGGACCTAAACCCATAAGAAGCTCTACTAAGAAAGCTGTATTATGTATTGCAAATTTAGAGAACATTAAAGAAGTCTGCATATGAAACAAGATGAAAACCAGCTGACCTAGCAGTAGGTAATCAAATGGAAACTGAGAAAACAAGCTTAGCCAAAAAGTAATCTAGGTAAATTTCACTTCAGCAAAGAATAACTTGTTAAAAAATCAAAATCCAGCAAGCAAGTTCATTATATTGCTTCTATTGCTGCTGCTGGAATAGGAAAAGGACATGGCTTGGACAAGGAACATGACTCGGTTATGGAGAACATTACTTTAGAAGAAGGAAGTTTGTGTACAATTCCAAGAACCCTAGTTACCTGTCAATTTTGAGAGTCAAAAGAAGGCAAACATCTGACCCATTATCTACAACCAAGTTCCACCTTTGCTATGACATTTAAATTTGTACTTTTTATTACCTGTGTTCTTCAGAGTGATGAATGGGAAACTTCACTACAATTTTACTGCCTTGGATAACCTTATGGATCACCTGTGGGAAAATAAGCTAATTCCAGGTAAGCGCAGCTCCCTGCCTCCACAACTTGCTACATCTGATTGCCCATATCGTGCAATCATCAGAAAATTCTTAGCTTTGCTGAAGCTGCTTTTGATAAAAATTCATTCTATTCCTACTTGCCTTTACCTCATGTCCCTGTAAATGTAAAGAGCATGAGCAAAACACTAGTAGTCAGTTTAGACAACACAAATGGTTTTACACTGCTTTCAAAAACAGAATGAGACACCTGAATTGGGAAAGGAGATCTCTTGAAGAGGAGAAAGCATTGTACCCATTAACATGTACCTAAAAGGGCCAGAGAAGCAGATACTCAAGGTATAGCTTCCTTTGAATTTCTGCAAACATCCATTGTTCAAAGTTCCCTCTAAGCCTTGAATTTAAGTGTTGATTATCATAGTCATTAGTCAGTAACAAGTGTGAGCACCATCAAATCTGAAATAGTCCTGGTGGGGATGTGTAAAAACAGGAAACAAAGCCCATTTAATGATGCTTGTTTCAGATAATGCAATAACCCCTTTGTTAATCAAAAGGAGATAGCATTCACACAAAAAACCCCAGACCAATCTTTTCTGTCTTTTTTAGGATTTGAATTGATGGGGAATCCATCAGGCTATTTTTTAGATTTTGAAGATAAAGAACAGGTAGTAAGATGGAGAAACTTAATTACACTTCTGGCCAACAGATACATAGGTAAGTTCCAAAAAAAGAAAAAAAAACCCTGTTACTTACTCTGTTGTAATCCCTTCTAGCTACCTCAAAAGGTTCTATGTATTGTGAGCAATTTCAAGACCTTGGATTTCAGCACAGAGCAGTCAAAAAACCATGCTACAACAGACAGTAGGATAATAGCCCCTTTTTTGGCTGATCCATGACCAACATCCTAAATGTGTTCTGGGTAACACATTTGGCCTGCTTCTGAGGACTGACTTTTTGTTATGTTGTGGTTGTAAACCACCAGCTTGCACTAGGACATGATAGCCTGAATACTTCCCACATGCCTTCTTCAGGTATCTCTAGTAAGACAGAAGCCTCAATCTGAATTAAGGCTAGGTGAGTGCCCTAACCACAAGGCTGTAATTCACATCACCTCTCTCTGGCCTTTCACCTTTTTCAAATATTGATGTATTTCATCAAAAATGAGAGATCATTTTGAAACTGCCAAAATTGCACTTTCCTCATTATTAAAAATAGGTAATATTTGTACCCTGTTGTAGCTCTGAGTGCTGAACCTCACCTGCAGCCCTAGTTGATAGGATTGCCTGGATCACTGACTAATTGACAGGATGGTCTGAATATGCAGCTCACTGATAAATGAGGCCTCTCCTACAGATAGGTATGGATTGGAACATGTTGCTAAATGGAATTTTGAAACATGGAATGAACCAGACCACCACGACTTTGACAATGTGTCCATGACAGTGAAAGGTAAGCACGTTTTGGAGCCCCTACTAGTGTAGTAATGTGAGACAGATGTGTGGTGTGGGTGGAGGGTGACTGTCAAAAAGGAGAGATGCTGTCAAAGAAATAAGGTAGACAGGAGAGATAAGGAATGTGAAAGGTCTACCTAGTCTGTTTTGCTAAGGTCATGTTACTGACTACGCTTTGTTCCCTGCTTGGACATCAGTATAAATACAAGGGTAGTAGAACAGGGAAAACAGAACAGGAGTTACACTTAGAAGGTGCAGTTCAATATTTGGATATAAAGTAAGATTAGTGGAGGTAAGGGGGTGAAGGGTGAAGTAAGAGGAAAACTGTTCATTGACAGATGCATGCTTTGGGAACCTGTCCTTACGAGACCTTTGGAAGAACCTTGTGAATGCAGCTGAGGTTTTGATATCTTCTCGTGTTGTCAGTGCATAGGACAGAGTAGCCCCAGTTTGTGAGGTACCGCCAATAAATGCAGTAATAGAGTAATGACATCCCCATGTAGTTTTAGATCAAGGTTTTGAGTTATCATCTTTGATACATGCATCTGCTTGGACTTCAGGGTTTCTCAACTATTATGATGCTTGCTCAGAAGGATTAAGAGCAGCCAGTCCTCTACTAAAATTTGGAGGACCTGGGGATTCTTTCCACCCCTTTCCCAAGTCACCCATATGCTGGAGTCTTCTGTGTCACTGCTACAATGGAACCAACTTCTTCACAGGGGAGACTGGTGTAAGGCTGGACTACATCTCTCTCCATAAGAAGGTAAGTCCAGGATTTCAGTTTAAGGCTATTTTCTTAGTCAGTTCAGACCAAATTCCATTTTATTCTGATTTATGAAGTTTATTTCCAGATGAGTGTCCAGCCTATAGCAGGAAGCAGTGTTGCCTGTTCTAAGGAAACTTTGAAGATGTTCAATTGCAAGACTTCAGCTGAAAGAACATCTGTCTGTGTAATTCCCAGCGGGAAACAATGCCACTACCGCTTTTCTTTTTTATATTCTAGGAAAAGTTTATGCAAACAGCACATGCTGTAATGGATTAGGTAAAAATAGCAGTGCTGTCTGTCCTACAGCTCCTCAGGGACTCCAAGAGCATGTTTTCAGAATGTGTTTATGGCTGTATGTTATGTCTGAGTGTTTACTACTGTTTGCTCACTTTCACTAAGCAGATGTGAAATATTGTTTCAGGGAAGTGGGAGTTCTCTCTACATCTTGCAACAAGAAGTAGAAGCAGTTGAACGAATTCAGAAGCTGTTTCCAAATTTTGCTTCTGTTGCCATATACAATGATGAAGCAGATCCAATGGTTGGATGGTCCATTCCACAACTGTGGCGAGCTGATGTGACCTATGCAGCTATGGTTGTAAAGGTAACTACTCAGTTCATTGACAGTCTTGTCACAGTAGGGTCTCCTGATGAGTTAATGCAGTTGCAAAAGTAGACTTACAGTCAATTTTCAAGCAGCTACTCAGAATAATAGTTCCAACAAATGGCGAGTTCCTGATTGGTGTTTCGCTGAATAGTCTGTTATCAGTAGATTTATTCAGTTTGTATTAGTTTTCTTCATCTACCCCTTAAATAAAACCAACTGAGAACTAGCTGTCCATGTGTTGGACAATGTGTCAGTATGCAGTCCCCCAGTTAGATCCACTTGCTAAGACTGTTCTCACACAACCTTCTCTTCATGTTACACTACTGCTAGCTGTCACCTCACTTAGGCGAAACATTATTTATCAGCTCCATCATAAGTTTATCTCATCAAGAGTTATCATGTATAATTAAGAAGTCCCTTGAGCTCTCAGCAAAAGCCCATTCTTTGGCTTTAAATAATGACTGTACACATGGTTTTATTAATTGCTGCTAGTAATTACTGCTTTTGATTTTTTAAAAGAACCCTCAGCATCCCTGCCCCTGTAGGACTTGTAGCCTGTCCCTAGAGCAAGCTAGTTCTTGCACCTGCATAGCAGTCGTTCCGAACTGCAGGCCTGTTGCTTTGTTAGCCACTACCTAATACAGTGTGCAGAGTCCAAGTGCTCCTGTGCAAACGTGTAACTCCCAAACCTGGGAACATATATGTTACCCAGAAACAAGGTATGTCTTAGCAGCTGCTCCTGTGAAGGCAGAGGTTCCCAGCTCCATTAAGCTGCATACAAAAGCAGTCTTCTCCAAAGCAGTAAGTCACCGACTGCATTGCAGGGGTTTGTGAGAGCAAACAACAGTCTTTATAATGCCGTGGTGGCATGAAAGGAGGAAAAAAGACACATCCAATGGAAAATTAACACTTGGGTGGATAGGAGCTGGAGCCCCATGTTCCTTCAGGGACACACTTAAGAGACCTTTTCAGTTGTCAGCCTTCTGTTCGATTCTGATACTTAGGCACAATCTGGTAAACATACAGCTTGGGAGCTCTGCCATTTTGCAGGAAAGAAGCACACCAACCAGTTAAATGCTGGAAGGACTATTTCCATGTTATTCCATGTTAAAAAGACTCATTGAGGAGCAAAATCCAGCACCATATCCCAGACACTTGTGTAATGGGTACAAAGTAGTTTTAGAATTGGAGAACCATTTAAATTTATTTCAGATGGCAAATCCAGATTACTAATTTTATATTGAAGACAGGGGGGCATCATTTGTAGTGCAGGAGAAGGAAATACATTAATAATTTATGCAGAGTACTAGGAATACTTATTTCAGATACTTTTTACTGGCAAAACCATGTGGATATTTCTAATTTTCCAGTGATTAATGTATCATCTAAAGAATAGTTTCTCCAGGAGTTGTGAGGAACAGTTTAGTTCTTCGGTCTTTTCTAAATGGCAGAGTGTCAGCTCTTATCAATATGCTGTTAAGATTTTTTTAAAAGTACCGGTATCATGCATTTGTTGGATTTTCTACAGGGTGAAGTTCCATCTTTGTACTTTGCAGGTAATCATCCAGCATCAAAACCTGCTCATTTCCAAAGCCAACAACACAATCAACTACACGCTGCTGAGTAATGACAATGCTTTTTTGAGCTACTACCCCCATTACTTCACACAGCGGACTCTGACAGCACGTTTTCAAATGAACAATACAAAGCCACCTCATGTCCAGATGGTGCGGAAACCAGTGCTGACTGTCATGGGCTTGCTGGCACTGCTAGGTATATTAACCACTGATTAAAGAGCACTTCAATACTTCAATTAAAGAGCACTTTTCTACCTAGAAGCTTCTTGTCTAAGAGAGATTATTCCAGCCATCTCACCATTGATAAAAGCAATATTTCTCCTACCCTCTGTTTATCAGATGTGTTAAGAAAATGAAACCTGATTTCCTCGGAGAAATTAATATCTCAGGAGATGTTCCTGACTGTCTCTTTTCCATCTGATTTAGTTTACTGCTTTATTTATATGCTCTGTATGCCAATCACTCCTTTTTGTTGACTGGTTCTTCCCTCTGGTGCTGTCACATCAGGCTGCAGGTGTCTAAGAAATTCCCACAGCTGGAATATCCATGCAGCATACTAAAGGAAGATCCTAATTCACTGTTACGTGGTTAGATGTTGCTAGCTGAACTGCTGAGCCTAAGAACTGCTGTAGTATGTGCATGCTCTCCTGTTGTAAAATAAGCCTGACTGATTGCTGTACCTGGTAAAGTAAGCTAGAATGTAACTTAACATATAGATCCCCATGTTTTGACCCATTCTGTATCAGAGGCTAATACAGGACTGACTATTAGTAATGCTTACAGACTTGTCACATCTTTTAAAGGAGAAAAGCAGATTTTTGCGGAAGTGAACAGCAGTGAAGGTGAATGCACTCAAAACAGCACAATTGGTGTCCTGGCATCTGTGCACACCCCAAGTGAGATGCAACCCTCAGACAGTTGGCAAGCCACCCTACTGATATATTCAAGTGAGGATAACAGGACTTCATCCAACATCAGCACCATCACAGTGAACACCACCCACTTCCCCAAACTTAGAGGTAAATGAACATCATGTAGGGAGCTCACACAACTGATCTTTAGGATAGAATATCTGCTGAAACATTTCTGCTGAGTTGCCTTTCGTTGCAAGAGTGAGTTTCATTTGCTAACTTTCATCTTTTGGGCACTCCCAGATTTTCTGAGATATGATGGTGCTCTTCTAGGAAAGGCTGTTTCCTAATGCCTGCACTTTGACCTTGCCTTTAATAGCAGCTGCAAGTGCTACCTTTTTGGAAAGCTATTAATCTCAGTGTTCTTGGACAGATATTGCCAGGCAACAGTTCCCTTGCTGGGGTGACTCTGAGACAGCCAACATGACTACATGATTATACAGTTGATACAGTTGTCCAACAAATGTGTGCAGCACCTGTGCAAAAAATGAGAAGGTTTCAATCCTTGTTATGGAAATAATAGCTTGAAATTTAAACTTGGCAAATAAAATTGTAGAGCCTTTTAAGAGTGCTAGCCCTGTGACGTCCCAGTGGCAGCTAGGCTCCGAAGTGCTGAAATCACTTTTGAGAAGGTAGACTTAAAACACCTTCTGCTAAATTTATTCTTGTTACTTTTTACAAAGAAGTAAAGAGTTTACTTTCTTTTCATTTGTGATCCTAAAGAGCTGATGTATGTGACATATTACCTGGATAACAACCAAACCAATCCCTACCTGAAGTGGAAAAAGCTAGGAAGCCCTGACTTTCCTTCCCCAGAACAGTTCTGGCAAATAAGGGATGCTGAGGTACGACCATGCATTTACTTGAAGTGTTGTATGAGTAAAGTACTTGTGAATTGGTTAACTACAGCCGAAGAGACGAGAAATTGGCTCGGGTAGTCAAAATTTCCTTAGCCTCCAGTGGCATGCATCTCGTACGCATATGAAAATGCACTTGCGGTCACGCAGAGAAATGTCACTGGTACACAACTGATACCTTTGCTTTATGTTATGCAAGAGACTAAATGTAGATGATCAGCTTTTTTGCTACTGTACTACCCTTAATTAAAGGAGGCAGAGTTGCTCCAAAGCAAGTTCCCCCTTACTTTTGAAACTTCTGTGAGATTTGAGACCCTTTCTGTTTGTCTCCTGGAATAAGTCACATGGCCTTGTGTATATTACAGAAGAGCCAAATCGCTGCAATAGAGAGTTGACATAAGCCCACCTCAATAACAGGAAAAAAAACAGCTCCCTGAGGTAGAAAGTGCCCAGGGCAAGTTGAGAAGACACTTGGAATCTCTTAAGGCCTCACAGGGAGGCCAGCAATTTCCCCTCATCCTCACCAGTTCCTCACCCCAGAGGGGACTGGGGCATAAGACCTATCTGAGGACTCCTCCCTTCTGAGAAAAGCCATGCCCAGATAACCTCCTGTTCGTAAGAATATGTGAGCAGACTGTCACTTTAGCTCCCTCTTTATAGTGGCCCTGTGCATTCAGACACATGGGTTAAAATAAAGGAGGCCACCTTTATCCCCTTTGGGGCCCATAGACAGTACAATGTTATATATTCTCTTTCAAGTCATCATAGCCCACTAAGGCCTGTGGGATACTAGAGGATCTGTCAGATCTTCCTACAGGGTAGCAGCAAGGTTTTAGATACTTTTGGACATCTGGTGAAACCTCATCCTCAGAGACCAGTGGAGTGGCTGTTGCCGCTAGCAATAGCTTTCACTGCACACTGGGAATCCACAGGAAAGAGTCAGTGGTGTGGTTTATAAAGACCACTAGAATGAAAGGCATCCGTGGGAGGTCAATAAAAGTGACAGATGGTGCCTAAGGGCACAAATTTGTTCATTTGTGATCAACCCGATTTGTGAGATGGGCAAACCCTCTGTTTTCTGAAGGCTGGAAAACAGGCGAGGTAGAAAAGTCTCCCAGCTGGAAGCACTTTCATGACTGTAAGCCACTTAACAGCACCAACTCTGTTTGAAATTTACACAGTAAATTCAGTAAATTCACAGTCACTTTACACTGATGTAGCATTTGGCCTTTGGGTGCTGTAATGAAAGACTGTTCACAACACCTCTCTTTGGCTTCACAGGACCCAGTGGCCACAGGCCCATACCCATTTCCTGAAAGTGGCATCCTGACACTGAAGCAAGACTTTCCTGTTCCCTCAGTCTTTCTTATCCACACTTGTGCAAGACCCAGATCAGTTCCTTATCAAGTAGGTTTTGTATTACCAGATTAAGAACTGCTTCCTGATTTAAGTCTTACTAAGAAGAGCTGGACTAGCATTTGGGCCTATTAATTGTTAAAAGTAGTAAATAAACAATTCTTTTCTCCTTTGATGAGAAGGCTCTGCAGGGCATAATTCAAGATAAAAGCATTCCACAGCAAGTGATAGCAGCCATCACTAAGATAAATGCAAATTTAGCCACAGTAAGAAAATAATAATGTGGTACAGGAAAGTGCAGTGTCTTCTTTAATATCACATCATGTGCTACCAGGCTTGACAAGAGCTCTCCTGTTAGTAACTAGTAGCTAAAAATAAAATGGAATAATGGCTGTTGCAGATTGGACATCTGTATCTTCTCATTTAGTTCCACCCATATTCACAGTGGTGCCCAGACCCTCTGAAGGTCTTCTGCAAGATTAACAGGTTGGAGAGATAGGCTACAAGCCACAGAGCCAGGAATTTTGGTTTTTCCCCCAGTCTCCATGGAAAGAATCAAAGCAAATAATTAGGAAGGATGAACACAGAAATCTGACCTATCTGATTGGTATGTACAGTTTTCTTACATGGACATTTGTCTTTGGACAGGTGACCGGTGTTCGTTTGATCCCTCTCACAAAGGGGCAGGTCATTGTGTTGTGGGATGATGAATGTGTAAAGTCAAAGTAAGTGGGTTTTATAAATAAAATGGACATAACCAAGTTCCCAGCCCATTACTCCCTAAGTTGCCACCAGTCCTACAAAGTGAAATGAGTTCACAAATGAATGACTACTTGCTTGTTGAGAGATGCTACAGTGCATTTGTCTGGCAACCTGAACTGTAGGACCTACATGCAGTAATTATGGAAACCAACCCTGACTAAGTTGCGATCTGAGCGAGGGAATCTACCTGTTGCTCACCAGCATCCAATGGCATTTTTGAGGGACTTGCCTTCTGCATGGCAGACAGCAAGATCCATGGTAACAGTTCCATCAGCAGCAGGTGCCTAGGTGGGATCTTGCACATGCCTGTAACGGATGTGAGCTGGAAGAGAAAACCTACAGTTCCTTGCTCCAGCAAGCTGCACTGGAATGGAAACGCTCTGTAGGTGACCTTTCAGAGGTGATCCAGTGTATGTTCAGACTCCCTCAGGAAGCACTGACTTAGATCCTTTTCAAGCCAGTCTCCCTAGACTCTTCAGCTTTGATAACCCTGGTTACAAGTAAAAGATGCTTAACAATTTGTGATGCTGCAAGTACCCAATCTAACAAGTCAATCTGCATGTTATTCTGTGGGATATTTGAGCCATAGTTCTCCCTAATACTGACAATTCATGCCGTCCCACATTTGCTAGGAATGGGTCTACTGAATAGTTCCTATTTTTGGCCTTCTTTGTTGAAATGGCCCTGAGATTAGGATTTGATTGCTCACCACATTATAAATTTTACCTACCAAGCTGTCTGGTTTTCTTTTCTAGATGTATAAAGACGTTTGAAGTGGAGTTCTCACCAGATGGAAAAGCATACCAGCGGATTAATGCCAAAGACACAATATTCACTCTCTGGGTCTACAGTCCAGGTAAGGCAAGAATACACCTATGATATAATCTGTCATGTTAATAGTGCCACTCATGAGTGTGTGAAACATCATATAGTAACTACCGAAGGTACGTAGCTTGCTGGTGACATAAACTCTAAAGGAACTAACTAAACTGGTGACATAAACTCTGAAGAAACTCCTAAAGGAAGGGAAGGAGCATGTCCCTTCCTTTAGGACCACATCCTCAGTGAAAGTCTTATTCTTGAGGACAAGCACTAATTGACAAATAGTCATGAGGACATTATAAAGAGTATTGTCAAGAGTAAATTCCTTGTCACACAAACCAGAGTCATGCAGCTGCGGGCCTGGCAAGCTCCCTGAGAGGCAAAGCAGCACTTTTGTCTCTATTCGTAGCTAATGCAGAAGCATGCAAAAATAAGAACAAAAAAATTACTTCACATGACCAGGGCTTGGTGTTCTGCTCTTGGTAGTAGGCTCACAGGTAGGCAGGTCTGAGGTTTGGACTCAGTCCCACAGGTACTGGACATGCCTTTGCCTAAATTTGTACAGTGCTCTTGGGGTAAAGCTGTAGGAGCAAACTGCCTTAGTGACACTGAGCCTTGAGGTAATAGACTGCCTAAGGATGTGGCATCAACACACAAATAAGTGGGAGATCAGTTCTACTTTTCATGGTGGGGTTGGTTGTCTTGCATTTATCATGTTCTGATCTGCTCCAAGGGGACGGTCACAGTTCTGCTCTCATTATGGTCACCTGTCCCAGTTCCCATACCGTTTTATGGCTTGGCAATCTGAAGCTACTGAGGTGCTCCCTTGTAAGAACAGAAAATGTCCTCCTGTAATTCAGTTTATCCCGGCTCTCTCAACACCTATCCAAGGAGACACCCCTCCCTTTCCTGTTTCCTAGAGCTTTCTCTTTAGCCCTGACTAGCTGCCTAAGTTTTAGATGTTTCACATTAGGGGGCAGCAAGTTTCATTTTTGTCAACAGACGAAGCTTCTCCCAGAGCCTGTGGTCATTTCTTCTCAAGTACAGCCTAGATGCAGTAGAAACATATCCAGATGAAAAATGCTGAAAGCAGGTGGTGGTGTTTTCTTTAGGTATTCTTTTTTTGATGTCTGAGGGCTTTTTTAACCAAATGTGGTCTAATCTTCAGTGTAAATGTCCAACAAGTGTTACTAATAAGCGCTGCAGAGCTGGCTGAAACACAGACAGACCTTGCCTCAAAGTGATACTAGTAAGAGCAATTCAGAGAGGTTTTTGCTAGAAGCACAAGCTCATCTTAGACTGAGAAAGGCTTAGCATAAGCAGTAGGTGCAGTATAGAGTTCAGAGCTATTGTTGCAATGTAAAGGCTATACAGGTGAGCAGAGACTATAAATCATGGCTAAGGCAAATCTCTGAAATAAGGATTTATTATCATCTAGTGCTGTGCATTTGGGGAACCTACCAAATGAAATTATTTGTTTCAGAAACAAGAAGGAAAGACTGCTTGGAAGAAGTGTCTCATCTCAGCAGCCTTTATTGCTAGATACTTCCTTCTCACTATTTCTGGCATTCTTTTAGGAAAGTTAAATACTAAAGCACACATAGAAATTAAGTAAATAGATGAGAAAAAAACATATATTGCTTGTGAGGTTAAAGACTTTGCTAGTGAAGGCTGTGTTCTTTGAACTGGATCCAGCATGAAAACCAGCAGAGCCACAGAACATCAGCTCACATACCTTTGGAGCAAGTGGTACTGCTTCCTGAGTTGTGCAGAGGGTTTTCAGTCAGCCTGCATGCTCCTTGATCTGCTTCTTTGTTGATCCTGTCCCCACATAACCTGTTGCAAAGGCACAATTCAGGCAGAAAAGTAAGTCAGAAAAAAAGGAAATTACTAGCTGTGGGTTGCAGAAGATGTCATAGCCTTCTTGGGACAGCAGTCCTGTAGCTGTGCTTGTAAATCCTAATGAGGAGAGAGGATGTCCTTGGTGCAACAAAGAAAAAGAGCCAGTACTTGGCCACAAGTAAGTTATAATAATTCGTAGTTAGACAGGCACAGACACACTTATATAGGGTGCAGAACTGATTTCATCAGTTTCCCAGCCCCTTCCACCAACCTACATTTTGTAGAAGTAGTGCCTGCTCCACATCCTTCAAGCACCGCAGGTGTCAGCCTTTCACAGTGACCATTTCTAACCTTTTCATTTGCAGGAAGCTCAGTCTCCGGCTTTTACAGAGTGCGTGCTGTTGACTACTGGGGGAAGGCAGGGCTGTCCTCTCTTCCTGTGGAGTATATTGAAGCTTTCTGAAGAGTGATGTCTGGCTTGGTGACTGAGTGGCGTATGCTCCCTGCAAATGACAACTCCCCAGAAAAATAAACTCCTCCCAGGCTGAGGAGGGAGTATCGAAAGGACCTGATGAAGCAAGTTAGGAATGCAAGTTGGAAGCAACTGCCCCTATTAACTCTTCAGAGCTCAAAAGACAGCGTTATCAAACAGCCACCACTGACAACCCAACTGCTACCATTGTGAAAGGCTGCCATTGGACTAGGATTCAGCTTAGTAACTAGGAACTAGGGAATAAATATTTATTATTCCCTATTTTACACTGAGCTAATGGCCAGGACAACCAAATTATAGAGTTCACCAACTGCAGTAGGAACAGGACCATTGCCTCACTGGATGAGTGAGGAGGGCAGTGAAGGCACGAAGAGGACCTGTCTGAGAGTGAACTGCCTGCTCAGCTGCCAGGCTCTCTTGATGTAATGGCATGATGGAAGACCGCACAGCAATCAGATGCATCCATAGCATGAAGCGAAGTGTCCCACCGGTTAGGCACATCTGCTCCAGTGCGTTATTTCAGAGTACTTGTCATATCTTCAGATGTATGAGGTTCTTCACCCTCTCACAGAGGGGTTTCCAATGAGCATTTGTGCTGTTATCAGGAAGTCAGAGCTAGTCCCCTCACACAGGCAGAGGAAGGGGTAGTAGCTCATCCTCACAGAAGGCACAGGAAGCTCTAGTCTCTGCACTTCTCTGCCTTTTCTGCTTTCGCCCAAGTCACCTGTTTGGACTGGGTCATCAGCTGCTGCTTCTTTGTGGAGGACACTCTATCCCTGCAAGCCCCTCTCTCTCCATTGCCTGACCTTCTATAACCCTTACACCTAGGATCTCTCACCAGCATGCCTCCCCTCACAGAATGTAAGTGACCTGAAGCTAGGCTCTGGGTGGAGCTGAAATGCCGCTTAGAGCCTTTGTAGTTTTCCTGTCGCAGGAGAACACACTCTGGAACTTGACCACGCTGCTACTTACAACCAGTTAGGAGATTTAGCAGGAACAGTTAGAGCTTCTGTGCTTTGCAAAGCATGTGCGCAAGCGTGTGACAGCCTGAGATCATGGGCTACAGAACACCTCTGGCTGTCCTTGCAGCTGCCAAACACTTTATGTAACAGCAAAGTTCCCTGGAATTGCAGGGGTGTTTTTTTTACTTTAGCCTTTTCACAACTGGCACAGTTTGAACTGTGCCTTTAAAATGCTTGTAGAGGGAAGGATAATGCCAGTGAAAACAGATGGCGTGTTTTCCATAAGAGGACCAATTTCGTTAAACAAACAAATCCCCTACAGCTTTCTTTGCTGATATCAGCCACCTCACCAACATAACAAAGACTGCATATCTGATGAAACTCTCAAGTCTTAGACCAAAAAAACCAAGTTTGCACAGTACAAGAGAGCTGAACTACCTCAAATGGCATTAAATTACAGTAAAGAAACATACACAAAAGGTCAGTATTTATTAAATGAAGCCTTGTATCTCCTTACTTTCTGCTTACTTGTTCATGTGCTTCTGCTGAAAGTTAGCCTTAAAAGATTCATTTTGTTGCAGAATTCAGGTGAAATATATTTTGCCTCACTGAACTTTGAAGAAGGGACACGTGTCGTGTCCTGATATGCCAATTCCTTGCCCATAAAGGCTTATGCAGAGAAGAAAAGGGCCATTGAAGCCTACTTAATAACTTTCTCAGTTTCAAAAAAGTTACTGAGAAGTTGTACTTGTATGCAGGTAGTAAAAACACATTTCAAAGTTATTATAACTTCCCTTAGGGAAGGCTCAGAATACACAGTTAAATAAAACCAAGCAGCTAAGACACTTCTTTTACCATTATAAAGTGACTCCACAGAAAAAAATGACTCTTAGAAATATTCAAGTGTAGGTACTTGGGACATTTTGGTGCATCTGAAGCAGGGGAAGATAGAAGAGCTTGAGAGGATAGTTTACCCTCTTAGGATGTTTTATTTGAGTAGCCTTCTGCTTTAAACTTTTCCCACACTGGCACTCAGAATATAGCAGTCTTTATTGAAGCAAGGACCATGTCCTTGTTTGGACAGGTGTTTGAAAAAAACCTGAAGCATAGCTGTCATGAAGATAATTGATTCTGCTATTCAGGGATGTAGTAGAAAATGTATAGGTGTGCAAATCATGAAAAATAGAAGGTCACTGCCCTGCTCCATTTAGCAGACACCTCACACAAATGAGGTCACTAGTGGCATCTAGGAGGCAGATGATGCAGAGCTGATGAGTCCTGGTGGAACAGTTGGCTTTTTTAAAGATTCAGAACAGAGAATGGCAATTCACATACTCTTTCACTGTATTGAAGTCTGTCTCTATGGCCAGTGATTTCCTTTAGGGTGAGTTATCATCTTTTAGAAGATTTTAAGCTGGGAGTTCTACTTCTCAGCAGTGACAGACATGAAGCTTGGAGCTGCCTCTTGAAGTGGTTTGTAATTCTCATGCTTATTTTTTTGTCTTGTTAAAAAAATCATTAAAAATCAAAGTAAGAGTGCTGGTTTTTCTGAAGTTTTACGGTAAAATGTCATACATAATTGTGTTGCTTACTGAGGCCACAAAAAAGCAGAAATTTTATTCTTAAGAGCTTAACATGTTGTAGATGCAAATAAACCCGGGTTTCTTTGGGTCAAGTCCAGCAACTTAGAAAATCTGTCACTAGGCCCCTCTTTTAGGAGTTTTACATTAAACATCATCCAAAGCGTGGAAGGCACAGGGCTTTTACAGGTGTTTTCCTGGCAGTGACAAATATGCATAGAAATCAGAGCGGACCAATCAGTGCATTGTCTGTTCAGAAACAAGTTTTGAATATTCAGCCATTTTTTTCTTTTTCCTTGCAGCTTTGGTATAAGCTTATTCCCTTAAACAGTGAACAAGTCTAAACAATTGCAGCAAAGAAAAGAATTTGATATTTCCAGGCTTCAATGTATTTCCAACAAAATATAGAAGTTTGGGGCTGCCCTTGTCTTTTTTTTTATAATGTAATGTCTACAGAAAAATGCTATTTAATACTTGAAACTCGAGTGTTCTGTAACCGCCTGTAACTGACTCTGCCTCATAGGGTTTCTAATATTGCATGTTTGACTCTACCATCTCCTCCATTACCAGGCAGTAATCACCACCCCCCCCTCACAGTTTCAGTTTTTAGGAGTGGTAGATGTACCAAGTGGGAGGTAGTTCTTAGTTCTGTAGCATCAGAACCAAAGTGAGACTGCAGAACACTCAGGTATGTCTCTTGCTGGCCATAAATCCTGCATCTGGGTTGGGGCAATC